AAGTTAGGTTTTTAGTTAACTTTGAGTTAATAATTATAGTGCTGTGGCTCAAAAAAACCACTTGTATCAAACAAAATCCATTTGAATGGTTGCTTGCCAGTTTTGGCTAAAAATAGCCTGGGAATTTTAAACAAGGAGCTAGCAGCAATGAAAATTAAACAGTGCTCCAGCATGTGAATGGGGAAAGGGTTCTTCAAGCAAAGAACTGTGGTTAACCTCAGGACATCCCATAGTACTTTACAGTGAACTACCTTTAGAAACATTGTCACTGCTGTAATTTCGGAAACATGTCAATCAATTTTCACACAGCAAGATCTCACATACAGCAATGGCGTTGGTTTGATGAATATTACAGAATTGTAGAATGCTTTAGCACAGAAGGAGGCCAGTCATCTGTGCATCCATGTCAGCTTTGATTAGAGTTCCCAGTTTCATGTCCTACATGCCTCTTTTGGACCAATGCCTTATCACTGCTACCCCTACAAATCGGATTGGTAAAGATCAATGTTCTGTAAGTCTCTACCATTCTTACTAAGGTAGCAGGTTAGTGGGATCCAGTAATCTACAAGGTTGCAGTTCTAGCCTGTATGGACTCATTTGCAAGGCTGGATAGAAGTTCTGTGGTGGAGGCTACTTTCTCTGCATGTTAGAAATTCTCACAATTCCCCATACTGCCGATTCATTATTGTCTCCTCATTCCTTTCCACAATTTGGGTGGCACTTCTGTCAATATCTGGCCAAGTTTTCTGACATACCCCTAGTGCTCATAACTGGGGAGAATTACTTCTACCACATCTCAACTAACACTCCGACAAACAACCTAACCCTGCCACCAAAGCTTAGCACTAGTGCCTGGTGGTACATGCTATGACAGTACACCCTCAGAAAGAATGAGGTTCTCTAAGAAACTGTCCACATGGATGTCCTATGTTACTTGCTGTACAGATGGAGGTCCTAGTAATTGAAGTAAAACAAAGTGACTGAGTGGTGGCAACGTCACAGTGTTGACAATCACCGTTCTCAGTACTCTCATAGTTCATTGATGAAATGAAATCAATATGTGTCAGAGTTATTTGTAATCCAGCCCCCAGCTATTTGCTAGCTCCCTGAGTCTCCGTATAGGAGCAAATTACTGCAGATGGTAGAACCTGTACTGCAAAAAACAAATGCTGGAGATCACAGCAGGTCAGGCAGTATCCATGGACAGAGAGCAAGCTAACGTTTCGAGTCTAGATGACTTTTCATCTCTGACTGAGTGTGATGCAGACGTACCAGCTGTCGCCATGTTGGCCTCCTCTGCCTCACTGAGCCTGTCTGTTCATGTCTGCCACCTCCAGTCTTTTTCCTCTCCTTTGCATTTTTGTTCTCTTCTACCAAGGATGAAGGATTGGTCTAGGGAGTAACTGAATGTTGGATATTCAACCACTGGATTCAGTAATTTTGATTAATTCGGCTGTAAGAAGCATGCATCACATTGGACAAGGGAAGGAGTGGGTGTGGACAACAGATGGGTAGGTGGAGTGGTGATAAACTGAGGTGAATGTGAAGGCTATGTGCAGCAGAATGGTGAGAGGGTGTGAGGTGTAATGGGATGAAGCACACTAAACACCTTGTTGGTGACAGCTAGTTTTCTTTCTCTCAATGCTGAGAGAAAGTTTGTTTCTTCTCCTCCCAGCGATAATTCCAATGGTGCATCATTGAATCTAAATGCTATCCTTGTTCTATGTATAACCTCCAACCTATGTATTGGTTCCTTTAACAATTATTGAAGTTGCAGCATGGGAAGGCACATCAACTCCTGTGCAGCATAGTCACACAAAACTCAGAAATCAAAACTAATTGATATAATTAAATTGAGATTGCAGATTTGGACATGCTCAACTCACACAATTCCACTCCCTTTCGTCGTATGGGAACCATATTCAGATTAATGTTCGGACCTATGTAACAGAGGAGGTGATGTGGTCAGGTTAACTGCAACACAAATAATGATGCAACAGCAGGACATTGAACACTAATCGCATTCGGAACAAGAAAAAGGAAAATTCAAAGGACAATTAACCATAGTGGTATCTTGAGGGTTACAATTGTCGTATTCGGGCTTGACTGTGGTCACAATCAATGGATTAACTATAGCATTGTTCAGAGGATTGACTGTAGTATTATTGTCTAAATAGAGCGTGGGAGAAAGCACAGGTTTCCATTGTGAGACTCAGGAAGCTAGACGTACGAGATGGATCACATATCATACCAGCTTTTAATTGCTCCATGTCCAGCAGCACAAGGGAGAAGTGTTAGATGAATTTGAAAAGCCTAGACAGGATTTAAATTATTGACAAGACTTGAAGCTTTACCAAGCTAAGTGTTGTTGGAATAATGAAGTGAAACCTAGTGCTCCACCATGATTCCCATAAGCTTCTGAGACAAGAATTATAAATTTTGAATAGAATGAAGTGTTAAAGCTAATGTTACCTGCCTGATCCAAAATCAGTAAAAAGGCAAAACAGAAAACCACAGATTTGATTATTTCATTCCATCAGTAAGAATGATAAAAACATGACTGAATGCATGGACACAATAGGGACAGCCAATACAGGTTCAGAAAAGAAAGGTGATCCTTGTTTAATCTAGATGAATTTTGTGAGGAGGTTGCTGAATGAGAGCTGAAGGGAATGGAGTGCCATTTGGTATATTTGAACTGTCAGAAAATTTTTGATAAAATATCACATGAGAGATGTTTTTTTAAGATTAAAGGGATGGCTTGAAGATGGAAAGCAAAGGGTAGGAGTAAATGGATGTCTTTTGGACTGGAAACTAAGTGCATGCCTCAAAGTTTTATGTTTTGACTTTTCCTATAACTAGGAAAGTAATAGTTGAAGTCCGTAACTCATTTGAACATTCAGTGAATAATTAGGGAAGACAAATACTGAACGTGGATCAATTTGAACATTAAGAGGGATAATTAAGAGGAAGGCAGCTAATTTTAAGATAGCAAGCAACCTTTATCCAAACTCCTGCATGTGTTGGGCTTGTAAAACAAACCATACAGCAAACTTTGAGAATGTCTATTTCTATAAGTTAGTATCAAAGACTGTACTTTGAAAAGCCATGTTAAGCTACTCATAAAAAGTGATGTTCATTTAACAGGAAAGACAATTTATTTTATGCTGGTCTTGCTACAAATCTGTTAACTTGCTTCTGGTAAACCAAAAAAGCTGGGTAGCACAAATATTATCTAATGTCTTCTCACTGCAGCATCTAAGCATAAGTACCTGAGGGAAGAATTTGTGTTTCTCTGGTCAATATAATCAAAGGTCATTTTTGATGTTACCATTTTCGATGGAGTTTTTAGCTCTGTGAGTAGTGTTGAAGACAGTAGTATCTGTTCAACTGTTTTCCATCTCTTTTCAATCCAACCAGAGGTTACCAATTAGAAAGATTTAAGTTTCCGCCATTGAAAGGGGCACCCCAATGCACTGTAATGAAATGTAATAGCATTACAGGAGAGTTAACACATCAGGTTAAAATGATATTCCCCAGGAGAGGAGGGTGGTGATGCATTCCAGTTCCCCATGCCCACTTGTTGTGACCACCTCCTACTCCCTCTCCAGAGTTACTTGGCTGTGGGTGTAGCTTTGTAAAAGAGGCAGGCAGTTGGGTTGAATATCCCCTCAGTTGTCTCCTACTCAGTCCCTGTTGATGGCCACTTTTGGCCAGGTGGGGAAGCCTAAAGCCGGAGGTTTCTGATCCATGCTGAGTGGCTAAAGATTGGGAGTGTTGGACAGTAGTGCAATCAGAATTTGAGGAGCAGCCTTTTCAGATAATGAAAGAGAAACTGCAACCCAACACATCCTACACAAACAAACATGCCTTCAGGCCACAGAAATAACAGGCATGCCTAGAGTCATTGAACTGAATTTGCAGTCTTTCACATGGAGCTGACAAGTCTAATATCTGCTACATTATATTCCCAATTCACACAGGGAAGACTTCGGAGAGCTTCTCACTGGGATCCCCAGCTCCTCCAGATGGCAGGATAGAATCAACTGTGTGGTTCTAAAGTGTATCGCAATCTCTTCAATTAGTAATCTCATGAAAATTTCACTGGGCAATGTCGCTGACAATTTGACAGGGAGTTTGTAAAAGGTTGGGGATAATGAAAGTCCTGCTTTACAGTTGTTGAATGTTTGACCTGTACTTCTGTCCTTCAGATTAGGTAAACTGAGGGATCGACCAATTCACATTACCACGGAATTTGAGAACTAATCAGCAAATGGCTTTTCTCTGTTTGAGTTTTAATCTCGGAATGACAGAGGAAGTGCTGTACTGTCAGTGCCGCTGCCTTTCACAGTCGGCATTGTTTTAAATCAGAGCAAGGCGGTTCTCCCCAGTTCTCAACACTTAGCCTCAAACAATATTAGTAAAACAGATTTATTTGGTCATAGCCACGTTGCTGATTACGGGATCTTGCAATGTGCAAATCGGCGGCTGCTATTCCTACAATAATGATTAATTATGCTACAAAAAGTACTTTATTGGCGTGAAACATTTTGTGATGTCCTGAAGTCGTCTAGAAAGGCATCATACAAGTGCCCTCTTTTTCTCTTTGCTCGGTTTCTCTGCGCACTCTTTACAAAATCTTTATCATTGGACATGCGCTTCTGCCTAAGTGTGTCTTTATGCAATGAACAGCTGTATGTGTTAGACGCAGTCACTAAATCAGTTGAAAGGCAGTTCGGATGAAGGTAGTAGGAGTGGTGAGGATTAACACTGTCCTTCTGCAACAAGGTTAATATGAATCCGAATAGCAGACAGCAAATGTCACAGTAAATCACAGCCAGTCTAAGCAATCTTCCTTCTCAGTCAGGGGATTATGTACGGGGTGGGGGAGTAGAATGCGGTTGGCTGCCGCTTCCTTTCGTGAAGCTGGTCCCTCCCTGTCTCCTTTTCTATTGGTTCAGAATAAGATTTGGATCACGGAGAAGAAGGCAGGAGATTGAGGATAGCGGCAGACAGCAGTTTACAGGTTTGAGTGTGTGTTGGAGTGGGGGCATGGTAGGAGACTGCAGAGAGGAACCACCCAGAATAATCTGACTCAGGAAGGAAGGAACCAGGGTCTAGCCTGACCCCAGGGGTGAGAGGGAACAGTGCCCAGTCTGACCCCAGGGGAGAGAGGAGGGGAACAGTGTCCAGCCCGACCCCAGG